TACCGAGAGTCACTGGCTATGAAATGTGCGATCGGAGTAAATCACAAAAAACTATGAAAACCAAATAGTGCGTAAGCGTAGACCTTTATCCACATCATCCTGCTACTTGTTCCCATTCAGACAATGTTTTCTTAGGGAAAGCTTTATTGGGTATAGGCTCCTCCTCTGCGGGCAGAATTCATAATTTTTTGGCTAATTGGAAACCCTCCTCTTCAGAGCTAACCTTTATGAAACTGTTCTCTTTTGAAATTAGCAATTTGGTAGGGAAACCCCATTGATATTTGTTCTACAGTAATTTCGTAAATGAGATACATTTTTTTGCGGGCTAGAATGGTATGTTGAGACAGATCAGTGAAGAGGGAGATCCCGTTGTAGGGAGTTGGGAGCGGGTTGTTGTTTCGTGCAAACAGCATTAATTCTTCCTTGACATGGTAAAAAATAATTTTTGCTATTATATCTTGGGGGTATATGCTCTGGAAGAAAAGGTCTCGGCAGTCTGTGCACCCTATCCACTATCACCTCTCTAGTGGACGTGTGTGGTAGCAGGGTGGCGATCATTTGTTGTTCGTATCTTCTGAGGTCAGCGACAGGGACAGTTTCACTGACCCCCCTAAATTTGATATTTCTGCGGGAGCGGTCATCCGGATCTGCCATTTTCAATTTTAAAGCTTTCAATTCGTCGTCTGCGTCGTCATGGGCATCAACTAATTTGTTATGAGCTGAGGCGACTTTGCCTATTTTAGATTCCAGATGTGTCACCCACTCACCCAGATTTTCAACCTCTGTATTGATTTGCATCACAAAACTCATATCTTTATGCAGCAAGCCTTTGAGGGTAACCTATCTTTCATTACTGAGGCAGTAAGTGGCAAGGACTCAGCAGGATAGTCCTCCAGGTGTTCTATAAATTCTCTAGTGATATTGTGTGAGAATGAATCATTAGATTGCTCACCTGCAATCTGTACATCTGGAGAGCAGCGTTGCTTAGACTTCTGAGGACTGCTGGTAGGAGTATTGTGAAGACGGCTGGAGGTTTGCAGAGGAGAGCTGTCTGGTCTCCCTGCACATGTCGCTGCAGGTCCAGAGAAGAGCAGGGACCAGTGCTATATTTGTTGGGGGGAGGGGGGCACCCGTCGGAGTAAAGAACTGTCAGTTTGCGGGGTCCCTCCTTGATTCTGCGTTTCCCCATGCCTCTGGTGGTGTACCCCACACTATTTGGGTGCAGACTGTGATGTGGGATGTGTTTCCCGCTGCCCCCGTCGCTGTGCTCCACTGTGACAGTTGGTGGCTCCCGGAGCTCTCCTTCTAAGAGGCCATCACGGTCTGCAGCCACCCCCCCCCCCCCCCCTTCTTCTTTTCAGTCAGCAATGTATATTTTTTACCTAGCAGTGGACCAGAGGTTAGCTCTCAGCAATACTGGAAAACAGCCAAATTTTGACCTTGGCTATTTTAAGTCTCTGGCCATTCTCTGAATGTTCAAGGGGTAATTTGAGTTGTACCTTTGTCCCCCCCCCCCCCCCCCTTGTGTTGTGATATCTGAACCTGGTCCCTTTTGTTTCTTAAGAAGCGTTTGCCATTCTCCCATAAATCTTCAGGGGAAAAAAAGCACCTGTGCAACAGTTGTATTCCTAATCCATGCAGCCTCTGAGGCATAGGCTTATTGCTCCTTCAGAACTCTGTGGCCTCCCTCCCTAGTCTATGCACTGTTGACGGGAAGTAAAAATGTGGCTCGACTGCACAGTTTTACCAGCCCTCTAACTGCACAAAGTATCAAAACCGCTTTACTCCAAGAGCAGCAAATATTTTAAACTGTTGTAAAATATCAATTGCAATATTTTTTTAATTTTTGTTTTAGATAGCATTAACTGAGGCGGATGGCTTCCAGGCAGACACTGAAGAAGATGAAGATGAGGACAATGATGATGACTGTATGATTGTAGAGGACCAGCTAAAGGAAGGTGGGTATTTAATTTTTTTCTCCTGAATGTGCGACACCTGTCCAAGTAAAATTTCTCTAATTGACTAAAATAGCATACCTGCAAGCTCAAAAGCACCTTCATTTAGTGGGTAAATTACTTAGAACTAAATAAAATTTAAAGGCCTGAACAAAGCATTCGTGGGGGGAATCCAAGAGAATAAATAATGCATTGCAAGCCATACAATCTTATTTTTTCATATACTTAGTACAGATATAATTTTACAGAAATCTAAAGATGTATGGACTAAGATCCAAAGCACTCATGAAATTTGGATATGATTGTATTAAATCTGAAGCTTCATGCACACTAGTGTTTTTGTCCATGTGCTTCAAATCCCAGCGTTTTCTGGTCCCCAAGAAGAGACATTTTACTGTGTGCAGATTGTGTAAGTAGTCCCTACATAGCTGGCAAATTTTATGGTGATTGTTCAATTGGATATTAGTATTTTAGGCCATCCTAATGCGTAACACATTTTCATTCTGATTGTGCAGTCTTTAGATTTACCAGGAACTATAACTTTTATATTTTGCTTGTAAAATATATACCTTTCTCATACTTTCAATAATGGACACAGCTGGCCGTCTTTAATGACCAAATGGGGTTTTATGTTGCCAACTACAGGAGTAGGACACTAGGCAGTAAAAAACACAGCACCGCCTATGGGCCATCCTAGCTGGTATAAAATCCCCCTCTCTGCTATAGGCAGTCCAGGTTTTGTTTTCTGCCTAGTATAGGAGTAAGGACCTGTCTCCCTGCTGGGACCTATGGTTCCATAGTTTAGTTTTTTTGTTCCTGGAATTTTTCTGCAGAGATCTTCAATCAACAGCCGGACTGGGCGACAGGCTGGATAATATTAGATCCAGTGGTCACCCCAGTCTGGCCAACGAACGTGTGCAGACCGCTAGCTCAGCACTTGGTTGGCCACGACAAAGCCCCATTCTGGACAGGGTCAGGTCAGCAAGCTAAACGTCTCCTGGGGACACACATGACCAGGCGCCTATGGTCTGTTACCTGTGGCTGACAGCACCCCCCAACCTCCCCTCTTCAGTGGAAAGGAGGATCTGTCATGAGAGCCTTACCCACATGCTCCACTTGGTAAGTAGATGCCCCCGCTCGACGGATGCGGTGTGGGGCACGGGTACTCCCTGGGGTGGTCGGTTCTGCAGGTTCCCCTTCCCCTCCCAGGTCTTAATGGTGGTCTCCTGGACCCCCATACCCCACCTAGTACATGGTTCTCGCCTGGAAATCCAATCGTCTCTGCTTTCTGGTCTATTGGCAGTTGCAATTTGGCCACGTCAGGGAGAGCCGGCCCATTTTCAGAGGCACTTCGGCCCCAGGAAAGGACAGCTTTTGCCAATCCTGGACCTCTGGCTCTAGACTATTTTGTGTGCATCTGGCTGGCTCCAGGGGATTTTCTATGTTCCCATGTGTGGGTCATTGGCATGTGTCAGGAATGGGCTTGCCAGTAATGGTGGGACTCACCTGCCTTGTGGGCTGCAGTACCAGGGCTGGCCAGCGGGTGCTTTCAGCAATCAGAGACTCAACCCTGTAGTCAGCCAAACACCTGAAGCTGATTACGGAGGTGTATTTAAGGGATGGCCAGACCTGCAGTCTGTGCCTTGGTGTTTTTCTATGGGCCCCTGTATCTTGTTACCTGCATTCCTGTTCCTGTCTGACTGATTCGTTGCTGACCCTGCCTGATCCGGACCTCTGCTGACTTCTCCTGTTTAATCCCTGGCTTGTGACCCCGACCATTCTCTGCCTGACCCCCTGTACCTACCTGCCCATTAGTTGCTGTACCCGGCTCGTGACCTGACTACTCTCTGCCTGCTCCTCCTGTTCCTACCTGCCCGATTGTTATTGACCTGGCCTGCCTGACGACGCTTGCATTGTGTGTGTATTGTTATCTGTGGGTGGTTTGGTTTGGTTCGTTTGCACTGTTTTAGTATTGCTCTGTGTTTATGTATTGTTAGTGTTAATAAACTATATTGTTTATAACATATCTGAAGCCTGCGTTTCCCTGCGTCAGTTCACATACCTCTGGTCATACCCGGGAGCCCTGACATTACACCAAGGCCCATCCTGACCAGAAGTGGCTGCACAGGGAGGCCATCTTGGCTTATTGTTGCTGGGAAGGATGGATCTTGATGAGGTTGTGTATTTATCTCTGCTAGTGTTTGATGACAGAGAATATGCTTATCAGACTCTGAAGGAGTATCCCCGGGATCAACTGCTAGAATGTATACGGATCGCTCATTGCCTAGTAGATCAGGGCACAGAATTCTCTGAGGTGCAGCCATTGATTCAGGTTTGTGCTGAGTTGGTTTCATCTGGTACCCCCGAATGCAGGGATGAATTTTTGCCGCCATTTAGTGCCGACCAGGTAGAGTCCCTGGTATGGTTATTAGAGGATGATGTGGATTACTTTCTGGAGCGTTATTCTGCATGTTCACAACAGGTACAAAGGGACTGTATAAACGCAGTGCAGTCTTTGACCAGACAGGCTTTGTGTAAGCTGAGCTTTGTTCAACCCATACTGCAGACATGGTCAGACTTGTTGCACCCAGCCTCAGTCAGCTTACAACATCATTCCTCCACTCAAGGCACTCTTCCTGCATCCCCGACAGCACCCCCAGTGACTGCCCAGTATACTCTAACTACCACATACCAGTCCCCTGCTCCCACTCGCTGCACCTATCCTTTCTTTAACCCTGTAAAGAAGTCCTCTGTAGCAACTGCTCCCTCCTCTGTTCCATCTTCCAGCTCTTCTCTGTCCTCAGCTGCTCCATTCATTTGCAGACCTGCGTTTACTTGCAGTGCTCCAGTAGTTAAAACCAGAAAAAAGCGAAAATTCTTTCCAACCAGTACCATCCTGCCAGTATCCAAACCGGTGAGCCTGCCGTCTGAGAACCTGCCTTCCGTGGTTCAGCCTGGTGCCTCGGCACCCGCACTTCAGCCGGATGTCTCTACCCAGCCTGAGGTCTCTACCCAGCCTGATGATCCTATCACGCCTGATGACCCAGTGCCCGCTGTCGAGCCAGACGATCCAATGCCTGATGACCCGGTGCCCGCTGTGGAACCAGACGATCCGGTGCCTGATGACCCGGTGCCCGCTGTCATGCCTGGTGACCCGATGCCCGCTGTGGAACCAGACGATCCGGTGCCTGATGACCCGATGCCCGCAGTCATGCCTGGTGACCCGATGGCCGCTTTCGAGCCAGATGATCCAGTGCCTGATGACCCGGTGCCCGCTGTCATGCCTGGTGACCCGATGGCCGCTTTCGAGCCAGATGATCCAGTGCCAGATGACCCGGTGCCCGCTGTCATGCCTGGTGACCCGATGGCCGCTTTCGAGCCAGATGATCCAGTGCCAGATGACCCGGTGCCCGCTGTCGATCCAGACGATCCGGTACCTGATGACCCAGTGCCTGCTGTCATGCCTGGTGACCCGATGCCCGCTGTCGATCTAGACGATCCAACGGCAGATGACCCGATGCCCGCTGTCGATCCAGACGATCCGGTACCTGATGACCCGATGCCCGCTGTCGAGCCAGACGATCCAATGCCTGATGACCCAGTGCCCGCTGTCATGCCTGGAGACCCGATGCCCGCTGTCGAGCCAGACGATTCAGCGCCAGATGACCCAGTGCCTGCTGTCGAGCCAGACGATCCGGTACCTGATGACTCGGTGCCCACTGCCTTGCCAGATGACGTGGTGCCCACTGTCGAGCCAAATGACCTGATGCCTGGTGACCCGATGCCCGCTGTCGAGCCAGACGATCCAATGTCTGACCCAGTGCCCACAGTCATGCCAGTTGACTCGGAGCCCACTGTCGTGCCTGGTGACTCGGTGCCCACTGCCTTGCCAGATGACGCGGTGCCCGCTGGCGAGCCAAATGACCTGATGCCCGCTGTCGTGCCCGATGGCCCGGTGCCTGCCGCTCCTCCTGGGGGCCCTGTGCCTGCCGCTCCTCCTGGGGGCCCTGTGCCTGCCGCTCCGCCTGGGGGCCCTGTGCCTGTCGCTCCGCCTGGGGGCCCTGTGCCTGTCGCTCCGCCTGGGGGCCCTGTGCCTGTCGCTCCGCCTGGGGGCCCTGTGCCTGTCGCTCCGCCTGGGGGCCCTGTGCCTGTCGCTCCGCCTGGGGGCCCTGTGCCTGTCGCTCCGCCTGGGGGCCCTGTGCCTGTCGCTCCGCCTGGGGGCCCCGCTGCCTGTCGCTCCGCCTGGGGGCCCGCCGCCTGTCGCTCCGCCTGGGGGCCCGCCGCCTGTCGCTCCGCCTGGGGGCCCGCCGCCTGTCGCTCCGCCTGGGGGCCCGCCGCCTGTCGCTCCGCCTGGGGGCCCGCCGCCTGTCGCTCCGCCTGGGGGCCCGGCGCCTGTCGCTCCGCCTGGGGGCCCGGCGCCTGTCGCTCCGCCTGGGGGCCCGGCGCCTGTCGCTCCGCCTGGGGGGCCCGGCGCGCCGCCGCCCGGAGTCCAGCCTGATGTGCCAGTCGTTGATATTCCGCCAGTTACCAGACCCGGGCGGTGGAACATTTTGCCAAGCTAGGACTGTTTGGAGCGTCCTGAGGCCGCTTCTTGAGGGGGGGGTACTGTCAGGAATGGGCTTGCCAGTAATGGTGGGACTCACCTGCCTTGTGGGCTGCAGTACCAGGGCTGGCCAGCGGGTGCTTTCAGCAATCAGAGACTCAACCCTGTAGTCAGCCAAACACCTGAAGCTGATTACGGAGGTGTATTTAAGGGATGGCCAGACCTGCAGTCTGTGCCTTGGTGTTTTTCTATGGGCCCCTGTATCTTGTTACCTGCATCCCTGTTCCTGTTCCTGTCTGACTGATTCGTTGCTGACCCTGCCTGATCCGGACCTCTGCTGACTTCTCCTGTTTGATCCCTGGCTTGTGACCCCGACCATTCTCTGCCTGACCCCCTGTATCTACCTGCCCGTTAGTTGCTGTACCCGGCTCGTGACCTGACTACTCTCTGCCTGCTCCTCCTGTTCCTACCTGCCCGATTGTTATTGACCCGGCCTGCCTGACGACGCTTGCATTGTATGTATTATCTGTGGGTGGTTTGGTTCGTTTGCACTGTGTTATGTTTTAATATTGCTCTGTGTTTATGTATTGTTAGTGTTAATAAACTATATTGTTTATAACATATCTGAAGCGTGCGTTTCCCTGCGTCAGTTCACATACCTCTGGTCATACCTGGGAGCCCTGACAGCATGTCCTACGCTTGTGTTGAGGGACATGTATTATGCCTCTCCTGTTGGCCTGACTTGACTGCCCAGGGGTTCTCTAGGCTGCTGGCTCCAGTCCTGGCATTGAGGCAATGGTGGATTGCCATACCTGGTTATTTGCCAACCTCCTTCGGTGGGTAGACTCCATGGTCACGCTGACAGACGTCGTGGAGATCACGATGCGGTCCCTGCAGGACTGAAGATGGCTCCAGAACGTCAAAGTGTCTGCCCCGTCCAGTAGTCTGGTGGATCTGGGCCTGGTTCTCGACTCAAAACAGCCTACTGTGTCCTCCCTGGTGCACAGACTCCAGTAACTTGTGGTCTGTCTGCTCTTTCTAAATCAGAGTTCTCTGCGGTCTGACGTACAGACTCTGGGTCTTATGGTGCTCACCTTCGCGGTGGTCCCATATGTGCATTTGCCGAAGAGAACTCTGCAAGGGGTACTCCTGTCCCTAGGGGATGACTCTGCAGTCTTGCTGGAAGACCAGTTTAGTTTGGAACAATCAACAAGGACTTATATGGTGGTTCTGATCACCTGCACTGTAAATAGGGGAATCATTTTCTTGCTCTCCACTGAACGGTTGTCCCAAAGGTGGTCAGTCTGTCTGCAGAGAAGCCTTTGGTCCCGGCTGAACATATGGCCATTGTACTCCGGAGGAGACTCATCCATCAACATCCTGGAGCTGCAAGCGATTGGGTGGTCCCTGGAACAGTGGATAACCCACCTTTGTGGGCTCTCATTCAGGATCCGGCAGACACCGGGCATCACATGGAGTGAGGCAGCGACGCTGTAGGCTTCCTGCCTCATGCAGTGGGCGGAAAAGCTAGTTCTGGTTCTTTATGCTTTGCACATTCCTGGTGCCGAGATATGGCAGGTGGCTTGTCTTAGTCAACATACTGGGGGAGTAGATCCTTCAGCCACACGTTTGTCAGATTTGCCTACTCTGGGGTACCCCAGCTGAGTGTCTTTGGGTGTCCTGAATTGATGGGAAGGTTATGGGGTGGGTGCGAGATCTCCTGACGGATGCAATGAGTGTGCTGGTGGCCTTGTGGGACTGGTATCATTTAACTTACATCTTTGCTCCTCTCAAGCTGCTCCCTCACCTACTGCACAGGATAAAGGGCTTCCTAATTACTTTTGACTGGTATGTGGTACGCCGTCAGACGCTCCCTGGTGGTAGTCTTTTCGGGAGGCCTGTCTGTTGCAGGGTCCAATCTACCTTCCAGTCTAACTGACTAGCTTTAATGGCATGGTTCTTGATGGCCAAATTGAGGGATGGGAGTTGTTCACCACAAGGTTGTGGATCTGCCAATCTGCTTCTTGACAGATTGGTTGTCGCCCTGTTGGGCTTCTATCACCTAGTGCTAAGCTCTGGGGATTCCTCACCATCCCGTCTCGGTGACTCGGGGGTTGGCAATGTCCATCTTGGGGCTTTGGATACTATTGGCCTTGAGTACCATTGCGGGGCTAGTTTCTTACCGTGTCCATTTTTCAGCATCTTCTGGCCATGCAATTCCTGCTTCGCACTTTTATTCCGGGCGTTTGTTGGCTTGCTTCCCCCCTGTGCACTTTGTGTTACCACCCTGTGGCTTGAATTTGGTTTTCATTTCTCCAGGTGCCTAACCCTTGAAGGGTATTCGGGCTATTCCCCGGCTGATTCTTTCCTTAGTGGTTGTCTTCTTGCAAGGCAGGTGGCAGACCTAGCGATCACTTCTGATGCTACTCAAGGGTAAGGGGTTCTTCGTCTGTGCTTCCTTTTTTCTACCGAAATGGTGTCGGATTTTCGTCTGAGGATATTATTGTACCCTTCACATACTAAGGCAGTTATGTTGATCTCTTCGGATGTGGTTTGGGTGTTCCTGTCTACTGTGGCCTGCTGGTGGTCAGCTTTTCTTTTTTCCTTAGTCTGCCCAAGTACAGGCTCGGCACCTCTTCTGCCACAACTTCCTGTGGGATCCAGCAGATGCTTGTTTTAGGTATAGTGTTCAGGTGTTTGCCCATTACTGCACATTTCACTGGGGAATTTAGTGCCTTCTGGCATCTCCAGGTTGCGTTCTGACTACGTGAGTGTCTGCCTTTACAAGATCTTACTGTGTATACCATTATGAGATTTTACAATGTTGATCTGTTTGCATCTTCGGATTCTCGTTTTGGCTGCAAGGTTCTGCAGGTTGCTTTTTACGGTTCCTTGTTTGCACCTTTTTAGGGCTTGTTTGGGTGGATGGAATGTTTGCTTTGTGGCTCCAGTTTTCTTTTGGTTTGCCCTCCCCTCTTTGTGGCACTGCTTTGGGACATCCCTGTTTGGTCATGATTTAAAAGATAAGTTCACTTTTTGGACAAAAATAATGCACATTTTTTTGCAGGTAAAAAAATGTGGATTTATTATTTTTGTCCAAAGGAGCCTGGAAAGTATTGCACCACTGATCGCTGATGCCATGCAGGTCTCCTGCAGACCTGTCAGAATATCTGCTTGCCCGTACGGCATGTACGGTCAAGCAGATATGCTGACGGGAAGCTTCAATGAACTACCATGGAGCTCCACAGCACCCATGGTAGTTCATTGAAATCTACAAGCCGAAAGCCGCTAAGGCTGTCGTGACTTGCAGGCACTCATTCACAGAACTCTGAGTGATGCGGGTGTGTGGGCGGAGCCCCGCATGGTTGCGCAGTTTTCAAATCTGACAGTACGGGGAAACTTCTCCCTTTACCATCTGTCAGAGGGAGGGGGGCAGTGGGTGCGGCTGCAGCTATAGAACATGTTCCAACCTAAAATGTGTGGGACATAACATGTTCCAAAGGTGAACCTATCCTTTAACCACTGACCTACTGGGCACTTATATCCCCTTATATCTTATAAGGTCATCGTCTGGGAAGACCAGATGATGTCAATCTCAAAGGTTTTAAATGCCCAGACTCATCTGACCTTGCCCCAACAATCAGCATCATGGGTTCTTCTAAGCAGTTGTCTAGAAAACTGAAACTGAAAATAGTTGACGCTCACAAAGCTGGAGAAGGCTATAAGAAGATAGCAAAGCGTTTTCAGATGTCAATATCCTCTGTTCGGAATGTAATTAAGAAATGGCAGTCATCAGGAACAGTGGAAGTTAAAGCAAGATCTGGAAGACCAAGAAAAATATCAGACAGAACAGCTCGCAGGATTGTGAGAAAAACAATTCAAAACCCACGTTTGACTGCACGATCCCTCCAGAAAGATCTGGCAGACACTGGAGTTGTGGTACACTATTCCACTATAAAGAGATACTTGTACAAATATGGTCTTCATGGAAGAGTCATCGGAAGAAAACCTCTTTTACGTCCTCGCCACAAAAATCATCGTTTGAACTTTGCAAATGAACACATAGACAAGCCTGATGCATTTTGGAAACAAGTTCTGTGGACCGATGAGGTTAAAAATAAACTTTTTGGCCGGAATGAGCAAAGGTACGTTTGGAGAAGAAGAGGCACAGAATTGAATGAAAAGAACCTCTGTCCAACTGTTAAGCATGGGGTTGGATCAATCATGCTTTGGGGTTGTGTTGCAGCCAGTGGCACAGGGAACATCTCACGAGCAGAAGGAAAAATGGATTCAATAAAATTTCAGCAAATTTTAGATGGTAACTTGATGCCATCTGTGAAAAAGCTGAAGTTAAAGAGAGGATGGCTTCTACAAATAGATAATGATCCTAAACACACTTCGAAATCCACAGGGGGATTACATCAAGAGGCATAAACTGAAGTTTTTGCCATGGC